TTTGTTTCCATTTTCCATGGGTACATCAACTCCATTAAATACAATTGTTTCTGTGAACAGATACAATAAATAAAGATTAACATCATCCGTGTTTCTTGCAGACTTGCTTACTCCTGGTGATATTTGGCATAGTGCTTCTCATAGTGATTATAGTACTTGCAGCCTAGTCAGTTGAGCATTCAAATGCAGTCAAAGAGAGTCGAGGAGATGGTTAAGAAATCTTTATATATATTTTTTTTAATTTTTTGTTGATCTTTGTGGCTTCAAGTCGTTTTACAATGTATCTCCGTCTTTTAAAGTGTGTTGACATGGTTTACTATAAAGTTAATCTGAATTATTTGCAGCGTGGGGAGAGTTGCGTGTTCTATTTGTAAATTGGTGTTCGAATTTCTAGATGTGTCAATAGTCATGTCATGGCAAGTGTCAATAAAGGTGAATTGTGGTTTGGATCTCCTTAATATTTTGCAATGAAATTTTAGTCTTTGTGAACAGCAACTCTTTTAGGTGAGTCTCGACTGTTGCTGACCTTAAAAAAAGAAAACTGTTTCTTGAATGTCATTCATCCTTTTTGTCGTTTCAAGGTATGTTGTTGTAAAAAGCTGCAAATCTATTCGATTTATCTTAGAATCAGTGATGCTACACGTACAGGACGAGGGGTGGTTCACCGCCAATGTGAGTGGCCTTGCAGGCCCCTGGGAATTTTGCTCCTGTACTTGGAGCAAAATTCATCTTCGAATAGCTTGAAAATTATGCTACTGCATTGTGTATGAGCGTGTATTCGTTTTGCAATCAGATCGAATTACCTAGTCCTGTACAATTTTTCATTAACCATAAGATATCATCATACTTCAAAAGACCGTCTCTGGTTACCGTTTGGACACGTCTTGGAAGTCTACCCTATGAATACCATAACCAGTGGTGATTAAAAGTGCATTTTGGAATAGTAAATTAATGAAAAATATATGACTAAAAAATAATGAAAATTTTTGGATTTACGTTTAATATTATTTTATTGAAAAAAAGAAATATATTTCGAAAATAATGAAGATCAAACAAGAGTCTAATAAGATATTTTAAAGTTGTTCGAAATAACAGTTGAATCAAAAGTTATTTCTAATACGGCAAAGAATTTTGAAATTCTAGTTTATA